ACTAAGAATTTTTATTTATTGTACATACATGTTCAGCGTGCATGCTTTCATAACAAAATACATTGCTAGATATACATCCCATATGCATAAGGTACAGTATACAATTGAAATGGTATGGTCATACCCACATGGCATGGTGACATCCCAGGGATGTCCCAAGGTCTTTATGTGATATTCTATGGACATCTTGAGTTCAATTCTTATAAATATCCCAAAAGGGATATCTTTAGCCCCTTAACTGGGAAGTTTTTCATGAGATACATTTTAACCTAAGGGAGGTCAGACGTAAAAAGATGTATAACTCGGTAAAAGGGGTTAAACCTTTAATGCATTATTTTTTATTTTTCAGCAAAAAAAAGTTGGTGTTTTACTAAGGTCCTAGAACACAGGAAAAGTGGGGAAAAAGAATTCCCCCCAAAACTGTAAGCAGCAGGCCAAATGTTATTGTTGCTCATTTGCTACAAACAACATTTTCAGCTTTCCAACCCACGCTTCATAGATTCTAGAGAGCTCAGTCGGTCCGTCAACACTTGTACACACCTCAACGCAAATGAAAAACACAACAAAAATGTATAAATATGAATGAGCCTGGACCCTGGATTAACGTAAAGTTTAAAATAATAGCACCAAAATCGTCAGCCTGTCACCAGACGAAGCCAGGTATCTTTGATTACCTTGCCACCAGGGGTGTAAAGCATCTAGCAACTGCATGGCTGCTATGTATTAAGACCAGACTGTTGCACATCTGCTAGAAACCAATTTACCTCAAGAGCTCACTGCTTATGTATTCTAAAAATGTTTATTAGGTATGTAGCATATCTGCTACATCATGCATTAACCTTTATAGGCCGAAAGGCAAGTATACTTACCACTAAATGCATTGACAGACTGCCTAATGGAATTGTTTTTGTAAATATGGTTTTATTTCATCGTTTTACCATCAATAGTTTATGAGGAATTAATTTTTACCTGAAAGCTTGCATGTGTTCGCACACATTTAAATACCAGCAGTTAAATACTGGCCATGAAGCAACACAGGGACATTTAAATGCTGTACAATAAAGGTTAAAGGGTTAAGATATTTGAGGTCAAATGCTTCTGGATATCTCATAAGAGATGTCTTGAAGACAACTTCAGTTGAATGCTTTTTAATATCTTGATGTGAATATCTTCTGAACAATTTAGGGAAGTATTTAAGGCATCTTCAGTCATCTTTGTTGCCTTCAGTCAGATGCATAACTTTTGACAGTAGATGTCTCTAACATGCCCTGATCTCAAATCTCAGATCTTTCCTTTCAATTTTATCACCTTGATATGAACAGAAGAGAAGTGGTTTTCATACTTTACATCAGGAAAACTGCCACTAAGCATAGTGAAAAAGTTCAGGTTCTAATTTTATTTATTCTGTTTTCTTCTCATTAATGATGTCTGACACGTTTGAGTACCACTATCCACGTTTGAAATCTGAGCCCATGTTTCAGCTTTAAAGATGTTATTTCAACCATGAAACTGAGCAACTTTTCATCATAAGAGCTAAGCTTTATTCCATGAAGATATCCCTTATGTTGGAGACTTGCAAGCAAAGGATTCCCCTCCCTCCTTACAATTATTCAACAGTTGGTCAAGAATTTAAGACTGGGGAGTCCTAGAACATCATGCATAGACATCTTAGAGAATAAAAGGTTGTCCTGCATGACAAGAAATGAGTCCGTTTCAGAATGAATGACCCCTAGATACTTTGATTTTGCTGAGATGTCTAGGCAAGTATTACGAGGGCCACTCAATAAGTTATCTACCTGAATATGAAAGGGATGACGGATGTTTCTTTCTTATTCAGGTAGATAACTTATTGAGTGACCCTCGTATCTGGAACTTCTCACTTGCCTCTAGGCAATATCTTTGGGACATCTTAGGGATGTACTTATTCTGCAAGCAAGGGACATCCTTGGGATGTCTTTACACCCAGACATTTTCATATCCCTAAGATGTCCATGGTAGTTATTTTTGGCTTCTCACTTGTCCCAAGGGGATATCTTTGGGATATACTTGTGCTGCGTGGGAAGTGAATGGTTTTTGTACCTTCACAGAAATGATAGGTGAGGTACAAATTCTCAGCATACTTCCTGAAGTCTTTTTTTTTTACATTTGGGAGAGACTTGTGAGTGACAGGTTTTCATGTATGTTTCACACCTGATTTGGTCATGTCTCTTATCAGGTTTGACACACACTATATTGCCAGAAGCATTGGGAAAAGTCTCCCTCTGCTGATAACAGAATGTCCCAGAGGTCATGTGGTAGAGGGCATTGCTGTAGTCCAAAAGTATATAATGGTTGTCTACAGTCTGTTACAGTCAGTGTTTGCCAGTATGGCATGTGAATCTAGGCTGACAGAGTCTGAACATGTCTGAATAATTTGTCCCAATACTTTTGGCAATGTAGTGTATATGCCCCAGCACATACTACTGCAGATAGACATACTAAGTCATACAAGCATCTTATCTACACCTCCATTTCTTTTACATACATGTTTTTTTAAATAAAATTTTTATATAGTCTTGCCATGCATGATCATATACTCATTCTTTCAATAAGAAGATATTATCAGATATATATTCCAATATATATGGCCCATATATCATATACAGGGTGCCCAGAAAAAAAGTACACCATCATATACGTTTCTCAGCAACCAACTGCTTAAAAATTTGAATAAAAAGAGTTTAATTAGTCAGGAAACACTTCTTAACCCTTAAATGGACTCGCCGCATATGTGCGGTCTGGCACCTGCCATCTCTCAATGGACTCACCGCACATATGCGTTCGCGTGTTTTCTGGCTGGTTTACAATGGATTCACCGCGTATTTGCGGTCAATTTTGCTGTGATGGGACTTGTTGAAATATCTGCTGGCATATCTGAAATATCTGCTGGCAGAAGCTTTTCTACTATGATCAGTGATTACTGGTATTATCGGTGGATTATTAGGATCCCCCCGTGAAGCACTGTTTTTTTCCATCAATTGCAGGTTCCTCATTGATAAAAAAAAATGACTGACATTATGAACAATGGATTGTAATGTTTTAGTGGATATCTACATGGTCTTACAATACACAATAGGCCTGCTATGAAATTTTGAATGTCTATCTAACATAATTATGGTAAAATTCGTGAAAAGGGGAATACAAGACAAAGCAAGTTACTGATGCAACAGATGGCCCTGAGACCAATCTTACAATACACAATAGGCCTGCTATGAAATTTTGAATGTCTATCTAACATAATTATGGTAAAATTCGTGAAAAGGGGAATACAAGACAAAGCAAGTTACTGGTGCAACAGATGGCCCTGAGACCATATGCAGTTACTTGCATATCAATAATTTTATGATACACGAAAATACATAAATAATAAATAAATATTACAATATATATCACGTTTAATTATACATTATATATAGTAATGCAATGATAACATTTGTCATTAATTCTATAATTATATAATAATGATATTATTTATTATAAAAATATGTAAATTATTTGAATTTTCTTAATGAAAAAATTCTACATGTAATGGACATCTTAGAAAATTTTACTTCACTTTTCTATCTATTATAGTTAAATTTTTATGCTTAATGAAAGTCATTAGGGTCTAGCAAGCTAAAAACCAGAGAAAAAAGGTCCCATCACAGATCCATCTTTTGCAAACCAAAGTTCCCAGTTAAGGGGTTAAATATCTATTATAGTTAAATTTTTATGCTTAATTAAAGTCATTAGGGTCTAGCAAGCAAAAAACCAGAGAAAAAAGGTCCCATCACAGATCCATCTTTTGCAAACCAAAGTTCCCAGTTAAGGGGTTAAAATATCAGGTGGATTGGTATTGTATGATCCATAATTTTTGTCATTTTGTAACCATTGTCAAATTTGCATGCAAGTACAACTTTTGCCCTGTAAATTTACAGTACTCAGCATCTCAATTTAATACACTGCTGAGTATTTTCCACTAAATCCTAAAATATATCCTTACTCAACCAAAAATATTGGGAATATACAGGGTGTGGTAAAAATACTCAGACAAAAAAAAGAAATTACATAATTTTTTGAAAATGACCAAATTTTTACAACCAGTGTGAACAAAAACAAAGTTTACAATCCCAGGATAACAATAGAATCACTTGCTTTCAAAATGGCCACCTCCTGCTCTGATGCATGACTTGAATCTCTTTGGAAAGTTGTCAATGACTTTGCTCTTCATCTCCAAAGATAAACAATGCAGTGATTGTTTCTTATTTATAATGATTGTTGTTGTTTTTGTTTGTCTGAACATAAAATAAACTGTTAGGTCGATTTTCAAGATCATGTCATTAAATTATATGAATCCGGGTTCAGGTCAAACTGACCCACCTAATATTTTAAGGCATGTTTCCTGACTATTTGAACTCTTTTTTATTCAAATATTTAGGAAATTTGGTCATCTGGTTGTTGAGAAACTTACAATATATAATGGTGTACTTTTTTTCCGGGTACCCTGTATGCCTATATCTCATAAAATCATTTATGATTTTTCCATATGGGAATAGACAAATCCATATCTGTTGGGGATGTACATGGCTTCCAGACTTCCCCATGGTATCATCATCACCAGTGGTGTGCCCAACAGTGGTTTTGAGGGTCATAACCCCCCTCTTGGGTTCAATTTTACAGGTTCGATTCTCACAAATATTTTAATTTGGCCACAAATACAGGGTGGGTTATCAGTTTTTTCATATGGCAACCCCCCCCCCCATTCGGATTTCCTGGGCACACTACTGATCATCGCTCAAAATTCCAGATTTATTACTATGCTCTATGATCTTGCCTAACACTGTCATCATGTAGGTATGTGAACAAGGCAATGTTTTTTAGTTATTATTGGCCAATAAAAGAAGGGCTATATAAAGCCTTTTCCCATTTTTCTTTTTAGAAAATGAAGGCCAATTGAAAAACAAGAGCCCGATGATGCCTACCATACTCAGTAGTGCCACAGTATCGAAGCATCCAAGGCGTTGTGGATGGATCTAGGCCCTGGTCCAATGCTCGACGGACTCTCAAAGTCAGATGTTGTTGCACCATATTCCCTAATTCTAGAAAACACAAATATGAACCTCATCATAAGTCTCTTTCTGCAAGAGGAGCAAAAGTCAAGCGTGTCCTTACGGAGTGTGAAGATCATTTCATGTTCATGGAAGTTCTCTGTGTCAGAATCCACATTGTCACAAAGTCCTTTCAACCGGTGTATCAACACATCACGGTTGCTGTCCAAAATGCTGCCCTGTCATGAAAGAGGACAGGATGAGAATTATGAGAATAGAAAGAGAATGATTAGAGAGGACAACCATAACAGGCAGAATGAGACACAAAACAATAAATGGGATAATGAAATACTTTTGCTGAGTAAAAGTGTTAGTAAAAAATTACATTTGGAAGGATATGCTCCCTAGCATACACACCTGGCTTTCATGTACTAAATGACAAGTTAACAGACACTCAAACTCCAAAGTGCTGAAAGGAGGCTAGCAGTTTTGGAGTAAAAAATGCCACTTTTTGGGAAAATTCACATCTCATTATTGTTTCATATGCTGCAAGATCAACTGCCAAAATGATAGTTTCTGGGAAAAAAACCACTTCAGGCAACATTCTTTCTTCACAGACTTTCAGCTTGCTACTCAGTACTGCTCAAGTGCCAACACATCTTGCCACCCTCTTCCAAGTACAATACAGTATTTTAAGACTAATTGGAGATCCTCAGATAAGATGCTAAGTGCAATGAAGAAAACTTCAGGTACCATACATGAATGGACAGAGGTGGAAGAGCTCTTTTGAAGACAGTTAATTATGCACAAGGGATTAAATAAAAATAATTTGCATAACAAAAAGAACTTTTTTCCATAAACCAAACATTTTCAGATAAACTATACATATCTAAGAGACATAAGGTATAAGATAATCTATATAATCTACATTCATCTATGAGAGGAATATCCTGTGCATTGGAAAATGAAAAATCCATTGGAGACACAAATGTGTGCAAGCAATTGCCATGGTAAAACAGGGACATGACACAATACTGGATGCTCTGTGACTGAATCAGGGACATCTTGCTTTAACCCCAGAAAATAATGCCAGAGTGAATGTACTCATCTGTGAGAATCATCAGCTGCATTTTCATGAGCTCTGTGTTATCCTGAATGTAAGCCAAGGGTCTATCCAAAGTACTATTCATGATGATTTGCTGCATTATTGTTTGTGTGTGGTACCACATTCTTTGAACTGTCACCTTAAAGTAAAGATGATGTACTCATAGGTAGTGAATCATCAAAAAACTTGGAGGGTGGGGGGCAATGGCTGTTTTTCTGGAAGATTTACACATGTAGACACACACTTCCAGTTTAAAATAAAAATAAAAAAGGTGAATATTGTTATCCATCTGCTTGTCAGTTTAATCACTAATTACTCCAAGTGCTAATAAGCAATACTGGAAAAGATAATGACCAATTGTTTCTGCCCAGTGATGCATCAATTCTTATGAGGGAATGTGGGCTATTTGGGTAGGTGTGGAATTATTTGGATCAAAAATTCTACGAAGAAAGGAAGCTGCCTGCCATTGGCATGCTTGAAAGCTTATATATTTATTTGCCAATTCTCTCCCCTAATTAATTCTTAAGTACATCATGATTCTTATAATTATGTACCCTGCACTAAATAATTCATTTGTCCCCAGAAGCTGAGTTTACAAGTCAGCCTAAGACTATTTGATGGATAGTGCAAAACTGCAGGAGAAAGATGAGTACACAGGAAGAAAATCTTGACAGGAGAAACTGCTTCTTGGAAGAATCAGCAGACAGAAGCAGAAAAAAACTAGCATATTGCAAATCAGTTCACTTTCAACCTTCCAATTATGGAGAAAGCAGTGGTATCAGACAAGTTTAGAGTTTGTCATCTAATCATCCTAACAAGGTAGGCAAAAGAATACTTTGTCAGCAATCAAGTGAGCTGGGGAACTAGGTAAGTTCCTTGACAGGAAGCAGGTGGCTGAGGTGGTGAAAACTTCCATATATGAAAACATTTCCAGCAACTTCACTGGGGGAGAGAATGCCAGGTATAAATTGGATAAAAAGCTTTGAAATACAAACTAAAGATTTATAGTTTTATGATCCCTGTTGAGCATCCAGAAGTCCAACTGAAGGATTCTTCAAAGGATTTGAACTGCCCCATCCCTGGGGCAATTGATGGGTCATCCATTCATATGAATGCCCCTTAGCAAAACCTCTGGGGTGGGGCTTTGACCTCATGGAGCCCCATAAAGCATGCTTATAAATAGGACAATAAAGAAAATTACTGTCCTGATATGATATAAAGAGAGAGGAATGGTTAACAAAGATTATCACATTATGATTGAGGGTTCACCACATTGGACCCCAGAAGAAGGTGAGCCATGAACAGGCACATCATTTTGGGGAGACTAGGGTAGACAAACCTTCACCCTATCTATAGCCCTTCTCCCTATGATCCTGCTACCCCCACAGTAGTCTATGAAATTATATCCCTGGCCTGGAGTTAAATCGCTCAAAGCTTCCTCCATTAAAGAAGTCAGAGCTGCAGAGTTTGGCACACAAGGTCAAGTTGATAGTTCTCTGGGGAATGGATGGCATTATTCTAGTAAATTATATGCCAAAAGGAACAACTACCAACAATGCCCCTTACTCTGGTGCGTTATGATGGAAGCATGCAATAAATGCTATCAGAGAAAGTGTCTGTCTGCAGCATGACAACATGTCTGACCATGCTAACATAGACACAATTGCTGACTTAGAGAAATGTGTAAATCCTGCCAACAGTCCTGATTTAGTTTCCAGTTATTTTCACCTCTTCAGTCCTTTAACCATTCACTGCACTGTATTCCTGATTGAGAACATACCATATTAATTTTTATATATCATGACTGAAGACTGTGAATGGTGAACTCCTGAAATATTCATTTCCAATTGGGGAGAACATGAATATTTTATATTTTTATAAATGAATGAACATGAATATTTTTTAATGTATGCTTGATTACCAAAAAGGAACATCTTTAAGATATTGCATCAGTACCACAGTTGAGTTGACCTTTGGCCTTAGTTTGTCATAATTCCTTAACATTTTTTAAATAGTATGCAGGTCACCCCCAAATAATGCCTCCTAATTTTTTTCTTAAAAAACCTTTTATTGTGCATGAACACAAATTTCACAGAGGATGCATACAGCTTTCAGTGCATGAAGCACAGCTAAAGATTTTTCATTATTCCCAATTGTTCCTCAATAAACTTCAGCATGAACACCATCAGTCACATATAAAATGTCAAGCCAATATTCAATTTCATGCCAAGTATTCCTCAACATGTCAGCAGTAACTGAGGCAAGTGCATTCAGCACCTGAGTTCAGAAATATCTGACACTGGTTCTGAAGACAATGTCCTTGGCATACCCCCATAAAAGGAAATTAAGTGGGGCGATGTCAGGTGATCATGGTGGCAAAGAGATAGGCCCACCTCTTCTGATCCAGCAACTTGAAAATTTCTGGTCCAGGAATGTTGGAAGACCTGCAATCAATCATCATCTTCCAGCAGTATGGCGCTTCTCTGCATTGTAGGATGGACATGCAAACATTTCTGAACCAGAAATTTCCAGGTTGCTGGATCAGAAGACCTGGTGGACCTATCTCTTGGCCACCATTATCACCTGACATCAGGTGATGTCAGGTGACTTGATTTCTTTTTATGGGGGTATGTCAAGGACATTGTCTTCAGAACCAGTGTCAGATATTATTGAACTCAGGCACCGAATCTGTTATGTATTAGCCAAAGTTACTGCTGACATGTTGAGGAATGCCTGGTGAAATTCAAATAACAGCTTGACATTTTATGTGTGACTAACAAGTGTTCATGTTGAAATTTACTGATGAACATTTGTGAATGAAAAAAACTTTATGGTAGCTCTGAATAAAACTTTGAACTGCTCAGCAGGAAGGTTCATCCATCCCTCAGAAAGTCTATGAGACCCCTGACTGCGGAGTCCATGATTTCTCAGCATCAATTGAGCAAACATTGTGGATGGGATGTTCTTGTTTCTAATGAAGTAAAAAGTAACAGAATTTTGTTGGTTTTCTAATGATCTAAGTTGTAATGCAATCCAATCACTCGGTATGAGTTATATCCAATCAGAAGGTGGGCAGGACTTTTGACACACCCTGTACAACCTGGCATTTAAACTTTCTTTTTGCCTTTATTATCTCTTTTTGATACTGATCTCCTCCTTCTCTAGGTTATCATCAGAAGCAAAATGTGACATGCCTACTTGATAGGAAAATACCTAAGCACAAGCTCATGTTCCCCCTAAAAAAGTGCAATAATGCAACACTGACCTGAATGAAGTATTCTTGATTGGGTACAATGCTTCCAAGTCTTGCAGCTGGTGTCATGGAAAACCCTTCTGGAGTGACACTGGCCATGCTGATTTGAGTAAAAGCACACTGGCAACATTGAGAACAGACTGCAGGCAGATAGGTAAAAGTCTTTCATGCAGCCTTGATTAAAGGTGAATCTTGAATCTTAACTTGGAATATTCAGATTCCTCAGATCAAGGATGTGCCTTAAGCACAACCCTCCTCATAAAGAAAAAATCAACAAATACATTTAAAAAGTCAGAAGTATGAGATTTAGATTATGAAATTGCTACAATGAGTAGCAATTTCATCATCTAAAAGAAGGAAGAATAAAAAATAGAAGTTCATCTGGTATGTAACTCATCTTTACTCCTCAATCTCGAGATCAAACATCATCACATTAGATTAATCACAAAAATTTTACAGACAACACAAAATGTGACCTGCAACATGTGAATAGGCCTACAAGTGGTGAATGGAAACAGCATGATGGATTGATAAGCACACTAGCAGTGACATGGTCCATTTACCAGTATCCCAGAAGAGTGCAACAGTGACCTTAGTTCAGATCAATGAATATATTATCAAATGGCACCAGTCAACCAGTTCATTATTGACAGACAACTCACTTGCAAGCAATCATTGTCCAATTGGTCAACACAAGAGGATTGTTCACTTGCACTAATCTCTGACAAGTTCCAGGGCTTGGTTAAGATCTAGTCACTGGACACCATGATGAAGAAAAATTGAGACTTTTCAGTAATAGAGGCTCCACATTGCTGCCTTTTTCAAAGTCCCACAAGGAAAAGAAACCAAACAACAAGCTTCTACCTTTTCAGGTTAAACCTAAACTTGTGTTGAATACCATTAATCTCAGTACTGCAATTCTGATGACTTAATATACTATCCCAATCGACATACTGAGTTGAAAAGAATGATCAAATCACTTGGCAAGTCATTCAACTGCTGAACTCACATATACAATGAGAGGCAACATAGCATCTTATATTTGCGTGAAGATCAAATCAGAAGACAGCAGCAAAACTAGCTTGCAAGATCTGAACAGTGAGAATTACACAGAGGTGATGGAAAGCAAAGTCACACCCATGAAGCTTAAAATGCAGGAAACATGATTCCATATTCTCAGTAAGGACCACCTCTCCATTACTGAACATGACAAGGTCATCAGAACAACTTCACTGAGACATATGATACAGCATCAACCTGAGACAGAGGATAGAAGCTTGCCTGTAGCAAATGAAGAATTCATGGGTCTGGTAAGTAATTAATGATACTTCAGGCTAAAGAATTCCAAGAGGAAATAAAGCTCAACGAGAAACAGCAATACGTGGATATTCATTAAGATGGCAGTGTTAAAAGTTGCAGGAAATTGACAAAAAGACATGCAAATTAGCCCCATGCTGCTCACAATAACTGTTATACATCCTAGAATGTTTTCAACAAATATGCTAAGATTCACACATGTAGTGCAGCAAAAAGTGGCAGTGGCTTTCCTCCATATCCACAAAAAGCTTTCTTCTAAGTCCTAAAACAGAGCCATCATAGTAATAGGAATCTCACCGAGTAATTCTTGAGCATCATTATCTGGCCTCAGAATCATCACCATCACATTGAGCAACATCAAGTTTATAATCTCAGAATTCAAGGAACAATACCATGTGCAGGTTCTCCCACTAGAATGAACTGGTACTGGCAATGACGGTCTCAGCCTTCAAATATCGCCCAGGTTGGCATCAGCAGATATAGAGCTCTAAGTCACCCTTCAAGCGTTTTCACATTTGCATTATAAAATTCAGTGTGGAATGACAAACAATATCAAAACAGAGCAACAGCAGTTCACTTCCATTTGTTCTGTTGTTTTAATGATCTCAGACAGTCTGCCAGAGGTGTTCAAGAGTTCAGATGAGATCCAACCATGAAGTTTCTGATTGGTTTTAGATAAAAGGCAGGTAATAAGGTATTTCTAAGATTAGTCTCCATTTTATAACTGCCACTGGAGATTGAATATGATCCGATTGAACATATTGAATAAATCTTTAAAAAACACTAAAATATACTTGTGCAGAGAAGCCCTCTATGCAAAATTTTATTTCCACAACTCATTCTATAGAATTCTGTGGTACATGATATCTAGCCATCAGTCCCATGCCAACTTGTGTCCAGTTTGGTACTAGTGTGGCTTCTTATCACATAACCTGAAATCAAGTGTTGTATGACTGATTTACAATCCTAGTCCCCTTATCAACTCAGAACATCATGCTTGTGATTCATATGAAATTTACAGTTCCTGAATGACAGGACAATTATGTAAGGAATGGAGTTTGCTCATGGAATAAGTATATTTTGCCATAGACATGCCTAGATGGATGATGAGTAATCTATTACTGAATATAATATAATGTACATTGGTGTACCGCAATAGCACAGCAGGACATGGTTGGAAAATGCCAGATGAATTTGACCAGATTAGATTTGCTAAAATATTCTGCATTACCCTGCTTTTTGTGACATACCAATTTAAAATGTTAACCAAGCTGCTAATTTACCTAGGAAAAGCCACCATACTAGTAAAAATGCAGTTGGCTTCCAAGACTGAAAGACTTCAAAGTGATAGGTTTTAATGGGGAAAAGCACAACATGGAGAAACTTTGGCATATTTAAACTGAGTTTCAGGAAAAATTTATCCATTCACCAATGGAATGACCTAGTCAAAAAAGAAAAGTGGAAGGCTTTCCCTTTTTTCCAGCTGATATAAACCTGTTTCATAGCTCTGCCCAAGGGTTCTTTTTCTTTCTCAACATCACCTTTTTTCTTGTTTTTCAAACTCCCATGCAGGTCTACTTTTCATTCATTGGCATGGCCACCTCAGTTGGAACTGGCATGCTAGTTCACTCTGAGTTAGGAAAATTTCAAATTTCCTCAACCTTGTTTATGCTGTATGACAAAATATGGGGTGTGATGGAATTGGCATCAGATTCTATCAGATTTGTAAGTTGCTCAGTAAATCAGTACATATTGGAAAGGTACAATGCATGGCAGACTTAGACAATGCTACCCAAACTCACCTCTGCTTCCACATCAAAAGATCCACTTTTCAAGTAATAAATTTCCCTTAACCCCTCAAGAGTGACTTTCCTGGTAGGGAGCAGCACCTTCAGTGCAAGAATGGCATATGATGTCAAACACGTTTGAGGAGTTAATGTGAGCAAGTCCATCATATTATGCTCATGCGTCAGATTCGCCATCAACCACCACATCTTTCCATACTTGATATGTTTATGCTTCACCTTCCCTATCATCCTTTTCCTCTTACCCCAGAATGCAGGCTTAATTTACCTTCTGAAGCTTCAATACTCTCATAAATATCTTTTAGAAAGCTAGGATGTCACGCAGGGCCAAGTCACTCAGCCGTTTTAAGACTGCATAGTAAACTGCCACAAGGATGTAACTAATGCCAGGTCAAACAGGGATTCACAAGGAACAGCAAACCATTTATTCATCTAAGCTTCATCCCAGAGTTATGAGGCATGTAGGAGCTAAAAAATGAGGGTTACCATTGTGCCTCTGCAATTGAATCCTGGAAGATGGGAATGCAGAAAAGTTGCTAAGCAAAATTCATCCATGGCTTGATAGAGAACTCCTGAATTTAATTGCTGGGAAAGCAATTAAAATATTAACAGACAGACAAACTCAAATCAAACCAGTACAGGGGGTAACATTCAAACCTTCCTACATTCAAATGAAACCATGAAAACTGGGGCTCGAATAATTATGCTGCTTCAGGATCATAAGAAATGATCCTGAGAGGTGTCTTCTCCTGCTCAAGTCTTTCTTAGCACAAAATGTGAATGTGACAAGATGTATAGGTGACATAAGATCAGACCTTCAACATTTAAACACATCCTTTTCTTTCTTGCAGCATGAGTGTCATAGTCATAGCAGCATAGTCTGAACACTTTGAAAAAATTTTCCCCCCAATTATAATCCAAAACTTTGATGGTAGAATACCCCAAGGTTTACCAATCTTTCTTTAACAGGAATCCCAAAGGGAACTTTCACAGATCTTCATATTCCTAATTGGTACAAAACTTAGAAACACTCTGAAGTTAGGTATGACCCCCTGTACATAGTAACTCTCAAGAGACAGCATGACCAGCCTCCTGCAATTGATGTATATACTTGTACATATGTTTTGAGAATCCCCCAAAATTTTCTGCAACTCCTTCAGGATTTACAAGTCCCAATTTGAGAAACCCTGGAGTGTAAAAACCACTAATGATGCATTTTCCAAACATGAGAACTGGGCATCATGTGGAAGAGGAAATAAGAAATGAAAACAAGCTCATTTGACTCTCTAAGAGAAGTAACATCAAAGGGAAAAAGCATTCCAAGTAATGAATTGATAGAAGCCAATGAAGCTAAAATAACATGTTAAACAAGAAATCCTGCATGGGTTAGGGATATTTCAACCGACAACTTAGTATGGTAAAGTGACAAATTTCTGAACTAACCTAAACCAAAGATTGTTTGGAAAATCGAATTGAAAAGAAATTTGATTGTTTATGTAATTCCCAGTGATTCCCAAGGTACTTTCTTGAGGCCCAATGAAGTTTCATGTTTGGGCAGTAACATCTGATTGTGAACTGGTGTCCAAGTTGACCAGTGGTATAGTGACCATTGTCCATGGTGAGCACTCAATTAGCAAATCTGTGGCTGAGCTGGTACTTAGTTTTTTTTTGTCCAGAAAACAAAATGTTCAGAAAATTGACACTCAACTACTATGGAGTGACTCTTGAGAGACATCAAAACTTGGGATCCCTTCAACTACATCCTCCACTCATAATTAAAAAAATAGGTACATATGTGGAATTAATCCAGAAAGACATGCCCATGATGCTGCATAGCCTACATAATTTCATTCCACCTGAGAAACTTAATTTGAAAATTTGACTTCTCAAGTCTCCAATGGGAGAAGCATACAGTGGTAGCTGGCTGGTCTCAATATGTAGCATAGGCATGTTCCATTCTCTGAGGTCAAAACACAAGCATAGAATGCACTGTGAAATGGTGGCTCCAGTCATGACACACGTCATGACTGGATACCCTGAATCTGGTGTTTATGTGACAATCTGAACAAGGAATACCTTTATGGAACAACTGGACACTCCAGCATGAGCAAGATACAAGACACCTTGACAATGATCAATACTTACATGTTTTTGCTGTGTTTTTAAAGCTCATAAAGGAAGAGGAAAACATTCTGTACTCAATAACAAATCAGAGAAACTACATTCAGCTCCAAAGAAAATGCCAAACAGGTACTCAACTAACTTTCTGGAAATCTAACTTCAGGAAGAGAGATTTCTGATCCCCAATAATTAGTCATCATTATAGGACAGAGCTGAACTCATGGCCTGTCTATAAGATTGAAAATGTTAGCTCTCTGATAAGACACACAGAAATAAGAGATATCCACACAGAGTTCAGCCCTGCATAGCAAGTCAAGGTTGTGACAGCAACATGTTTTGCCTCACAGGATGCAAACTGATATGGAGATGGTGTTAGCAATAACTCATGAGTCCCTGAGAAAATCCTCTCAATTTGGATGGTAACAAAACATTTATGCACTTCACGTGAAACTTTGACTTTCCTTGCTCTCAATGTTCATGATGCTTTCATAGTTGATTTTGTACTATTCGCAGCATGTTGTTGGTCTCTGACCCTTTGTTCCTTTGCATAAAAGCTGCAGCAGCCTTGGCTTGAATACAAAGGGCCTCAAAGTGACACCACATCTCCTTGCTCCAGTTGTGACGTCCCTCATTTTCTGTCCCATGTGATGTAACCCTGACAAGCAGAGAAGACAGAAGAAATATGATCAGAAGTGGAAAGACATTATATTTCCCTATCCTTACAATAGAATTGTTTAAAGTTCAGCAAAGAAACAGCCAAAGTATCATCAATAACTGTAGTACTGCTCATAAGATTGGTAGACACTTTTTTCAAAACAAATCCAACTTGTAGGCTAGAGTGTTTCATAATACAATGGGCCATGCCAACTAGTCTTTAGTGAAATTTAATCTTCTATTAAGAGTCATAAAAAAAGCTTAGCTGGGCTTGTTCTTTCCTTCCAACTACATGAAGTCTTCTAGTTCCATGACTCTGAGTAAGAATGAAGTTTTGATACTGGCATGATAGGGGAGAAATATAGAAATGCAATGATACTTTATCAGTTGTCAGTGAAACTGATATATTGCCCCCCATAGATGCCCTGTTGATAACTGATATTGAAGGGACACCTGAAGTGGGTCAAACGCTGAGCATGTATAGTGAGTGATGGATATTCACTTATTTTTCTCATTGGAAAGTTGAAAATGCCTAAATATCAGCATTTTTTCCCCTATGGACTGGGAATGGGAGGCACAAGGGGCTCTTAGCCCATAACTACACCCCGACTCAGGAGCACCAGCTAATCCCCCCCATACCATCAGCTCAATTTGGGTCAAGCAGTTAATCTGGAGATAAGCCACCTGAGTTCTACCTTCTCTGCCGGGGTTCTTCAACATTGCTATTCACGAGACAGAAGCACTCCATGTTTAGGAATCTCTCTTCCCAAGCTCGGAAATATACACCTGAAAGTTTCCAGGGATCTGGGTTTGAACAAAGTTTATTACCCACAGAGTCACTCCCCCAAGAGAGATAGGAAATGTCATATATTCCCTAACTTAATGTGACAAACTTAGCCTAATGCCATTACCATAGCCTACGTCATGCTTTCCACGATCAAGGACATTGGTGGGGTTTGCGCAAAGAACCTAGGGTGGATCCCAAAACTTAGGCACACAAATCACTAGACAATGGTCAGATGTCATCCCTTTCGTGCCTGTAAGTTCCATTTGGAACAACTGACTTTCAATAACCTCATAATCAAATTAATTTTAGGGCTGTACTGATGACCACATTTGGCCAATGCCTGATTTTGATATAATACCAATCAGCAAGAGGATGAGCCAATTGTGGTCTAAGGATTGAGAAGAAAGTAATATGAAATCAGATACGAATTCAAATAGGCCTATTTGGAAGCCTTGCGATACTATCAGAGGGTCTCCTGAAAACAACAGAGACCACTCTATCAGTCCAGTCTCTCTGTGTCTGTCAGTGGTTAGCTTGTTACCTATTGCTGCTAAGAGCGTTTAACAACACATTTATTGCTAATGCATATTGTAAAATGAGGTGCAATGATTTCCCATTTTTCACCACTATTTTCCCCTGCAAGTACCTACAATTGAACTGAAATATAATCAGATCAATATTTTTGTCTGGGAGAAGCAGGGAGAAGTGGATTTCAGTGAAACAGGAGGGCTGGTGCCTAGATGCATCCTCACACTCTCATAATTTTCATTTTCATTTTGCCCCTCCTTCAGACATCAGCATCAACAGGTTGCAACCCTACTGATGGCTGATGGTACAACATTGGCAGCCCATACTGGTGATTGTTGATACATTGGTACAGCTCTAATTTATTTATAATATTTATAGTTATATTTTTATAAAAATTTTATATAATTTTTTTAATATTATACTACACAAATACCTACCTATATAACATTTATAATATCTAATATATATAGACGATCGTGACTGACTAACTGACTGATGCTAATTCTAACCATGTTCTAGAGAAGTTAGAAACCTGAAACTTGGTACACATGTACCTTTTGGGATGCTGAGTTCAGAAAAAATCCAACTTTGGAGGTACATGTCCTGGGGGTACACATTTTGGGGGAAGAAGTTTTTAAAGATATTAAGTATGATGGATTAGGATGGCATTGAGAAGGTCGACTGGATGTCCCGAGTTCGGTGGTGTAGTGGTAGCACACCTGACCAGCAATCAGGAGGTCCGGGTTCAATTCCCAGCCGTTCCTTGGCTTTCTTTCAGCCTCTTATGCTTTCAAGTCAAGTTACTCATTCCCCTTTGTAACTTTATTTTTGCTTTAGTAAAACAGAGAGACATGGAAAGCTGAAACTTGGCATGGACATGCCTGCTGAGACTGAATTCAGGAAAAATGTAAAATTCCATGCCCTGTGGGGGCACATTTTTAGGGGCCGACGTTTTCATGTAATTTTTTTTTTGCCCTGGCGTATTGAGCTGGTGTGGAAAGATGAAACATGGTACATAACTACCTATTGGGATGCTGCAGGCAGAAAAATTCAGAATTTGGAAGTAAATGCCCCCGGGGCACAAATTTCAAAGGGAGATGTGTTGCATTGATTTTTTGCATTAGTTAAACTGATGAACATGGAAAGCTGAAACATTGCATGAATGTGACTACTGAGACAAGGAGTTAAAGGAAAATATTAAGTCTTGAGAAATCCCTGGGGAATTTTTTCGAGGGGTGATGTTTAAAAAAAAAATTTGGCGTGGCAAATTGGACAGAAATGGAAAGGTGAAACTTAGCACACGCATAAGTGACGTGATATTATTATTATTGAGTAGAGGGAGTATTCAGCTTTCATGGTGCATCCCCTCCTGGCATAGCTTTTGGGTCCGTCGGCTTCTCCAAACATGCTTCTTCACCAGCGAAAAGGGCAAACGTATTAGGTTGAAACTTTGTGGGCATGTAGTTCTCTGAGGATTGATATCGGTAAAAAAAAAATGTACTTTTTCGGTTAAAATGCCTGAGGGCACATAGGGGTATTGCAAAAAGCGTATTTTCTCGATCCAGCAGAACAGAGGGCGCTAGAAAGTTTAAACTTGCCAAAGAAGAACCTGATGGATATCTAAGTAAAGAAAAAATTCTACTTTTATTATACAGGGTGAGTCAAAAGTCCCCTCCACCTTTTGACCGTTCATAACTCGTGACTGAGTCATCGTATTTAATTCCGGTTTGGATCAATCGAAAGACAAGACAATTCTCTATAAGAACCGCCTTATCTTCACCTTAAACGAAGGCAAAAACCCACATTTCTAAGGAAACAAAAATTAATCTTTCAATTGATGACCATAGAGATCAATCAGTCGATGAGCACGTTGTGTGACGGATTCCGTCGCACGTGCAATCATGTCCCGTGGGATTCCATTCATCTTTTCATGGATCACCGTCTTCAAGTCCTCCATGTTGTGTGGTTTCTCTGCGTAGACAAGGTCCTTGAGGTAGCCCCAAAGCCAAAAATCAAGCGGTGTTAAATCAGGGCTACGAGGTGGCCATTCGATTGGTCCTCTACGCCCAATCCATCTTCCTTCAAATTTGTCGTTTAACCATTCACGCACTTGACGAGAATAGTGAGCGGGTGCTCCATCCTGAAAACCTGGCAAGAACGTGACTGCTGACGCACTGAGCTCAGGAAAAATGTCAAATTTCCAAAATATTGGAATTTTGGGGGGATATTTCTTGGGGATGTTATGTTTTCAAAGAATTTTTCATATCCTACCAAATCGGGCAGAAATAGAAAAGTAGCAGCTGGTGCAGGCATAATGGACGTGATGTTGATTAAAGGAAAAATTCAACTTTTGTTGTACGTCTCCTCAGAGCGTAGCTTTAGGGTGGGTCGCTTTTCCAAATATATATTTTTTTACCACCAGTAAAAAGGGGAAACGTATGAAGTTGAAACTGGGTGGCATGGAGTTCCCTGAGTCTACATTTCAGAGGAAAGAAATTTTTTTGCTAAAACCCATTAGGGCACTTTTTTTAAAGTCCCATTTTCCTTAATTATTTTTCGATCCAACGAAACAGAAACAGAAAATTTAAATTTCCCTCAAAAGTACCTATTTGATGGCTGAGTACAGGAAAAATTATACTTTTGAAATATGCCCCATTAGCATAGATTATAGGAGGGAAGTATTGCAAAATGTATTCTCCACCCTTACAAAAAAGGACACATGAAAATATTTCAAGTTAGGCACACCAGAAATAACAGAAGTCATGATTTTGATGAAAATGAAGACTTTCGTCCCCACGTGTCACGCTTTTCAATGGGGACGTACTTTAAATACGTGTTTGTCATTTCGCAAAGAATAAATGAATTAATCACTATCTAAGGTAATGGAGCACTGAAGGCGTGACCATAGTTCTAGCGAGTTCGGGCAAACAAACTCGCTAGTAATGAATATAATTAATCACCTTAAACCTTAAACTTTCCTGAACAACAGTTATGTTTGCATTTCATCCACATGGCAAATTATCTGATGATGTGTTCACAATCTGTAAGTTGTGTTCCTCTGGGATTCCTCATTCTTATCTGAAAGGAGATAAGAATGAGGGAACCTCGACATTCTTGACAATTTTTACTGAGTGCATCTCTTTAAGAAATTGTGGTTCCAACTTCTTGAAAGTTCTATGATGGAACATAGAAAAGATACAGGTGGGCCACCAATTATGCTACAAATTGATTTTTCATCAAAACTAAATTAGATTGAAGCTGTAAGATTCAAGCCATATACAAATGCAAAATACAATTTGGAGATTAATTTAGTGTCATTTGCTTGGAGGAACTGTGAAATCATTTACGGAAGATGACCTGCTTCAGATGTGCACCATTAATCTGAACAGTGTCTGTATCACATTAGAACAGTGTTCAATGTGGCAGCTCATGCTCAGCTAATTCTACTGATTACATGTCGGATTCTTTCTTTCAGCTCTTCTGGATTGTTTGATTTGCATTTGTATACATGAGCTTTACAAAAAGGAATTGGGTGCAGTCAAATCAGGTGATCTGACAGGAAGGGGAATTGGACAATTCATTGAAATTATTCTTTCCCCAAACTTTTGGCACAATAAATCCATGTTTGAAATGAAGCTCCAAAATTTTAGCTCTTTCAACAAATCCCAGGTATCCAGTTTCTCACCAGTGAATACTGTGCACCTCATGTTTTCACCATAAGACCTGATCCTAAATAAAACTCAGTGGTGGAGTTAATGCATGAATGTGTGGATACAAATATCGGTATCAGTTATCAGTTCTTTTCTGATATCAGAACATCAGTAGATCAAGTAGATCATCATCATCAGTAGATCAACCAAAATTCAATATTGTTGCATCTCTAAAAAAAAAAAAAAAAATTTATCAAAGAAACCTTTGGAGCTTCTGCAGGAGGTCATCAACATGTGATGGAACGAGGAATTCCTTCAGAGGTGTCACAAAATTCAGTCTATCCTTGTCAGCAGTAACTTCACTGAATCTGGTAAGGGGAAAACAAAATGATTTTAAAGTAAAAAGTAGAATACATTCACAGTTGAAATGGAGAACTCATGGGAAGAGAAATCCTTACCTGACTAGGGAAACCCGAGTGTAGTCTTTGAGAAGAACAGGGTTGTCAAGAATGTTCCAGAGTACATATCGGAAATTGGACACCATGTAGTGTGACTGAGAGATATTCTCCACCTTTCAAAAGATGAAATCTTCTGAGAATGTGCCAACAAGAAGAATGCACGCTGGATGAATCTCAACAGCAACATTTCAAACTGATTCATCCTCAGTTTGAATGGAGTATATATGACCCTCCATGACCCTGTTGTCACTTTTGTAAGCACTAGCTCCCTATTCATTAGTAAGCAATAACATCTTCATAGTTGCATATGAACAAATAATGATTATGTGGTTTGCACTTCTCCACATATGCCATCTACTGATATGAATTGAACCTATATGAAATTTGAGGGCTGAAGGGCATTTCATACTTTGCATACCATGCATCCTTTGTGTCAATGCTTGCACAGGTTGGTAGATGCACGCATGCACAAGCATGTCCACTTACATCCAAGGGTTTTCACAAAATGCAAAGCTTGCATGAGGAGTTTGGATGAATCCCATTGAAAATGCAAGCCTTGTGTTTTGTGAAAACTATTGGATGCAAGTGGACGTGTGTGCACAGGTGTCAGCCTACTTGCCCAAGCATTGATATGAAGGACACGACAAGCAAGATGTGAAATGTCCAACAAAAATTGACCCTAAGCTACCTGAAATAGCACCTTCCCTAAGTACCTATTCTCTCTCCAATGAGTGACTTTCCTATTACTTGCAAGAGTAGGCCTACAGAAAAAGTACATATAATGCCTCAAACCTCATACTTAGGGATAAGTCAGTCAATTGACTCTTAAAGAATCTATATAATGAATCTTAATGAATCTACAATGATCAAAACAAAACTATCGAGAATATATTGACTTATCTTTTGCATAATACAAAGTTAGGAACACACCTGGAACCAACTCCTGCATCAATACTTGGTATGACTTTCCCTAGCCTCCAGGAACCTCAGATTCATGTCACAAAGCTTTTAATGAATCTACAGGTGCCATCATCATGTTGATTTCTTCCTCCTCTGAGAACCCTGGCAATGACTGATGTACAATTTATGAGGTAGGGCTGATGCAGAACACACTACTGGACACTACTGGTGCCACAAATGCTTTGAGTGATGAAGTCTAGACAGCTCCTTGGTCAACTTCTTCCAGACCTGAACCCAATCTCTTTGATGACACAAAAAGTGGAGCCAGCTGTGTGGAATGGGTTCTGTCTTGCATTAAGGCAGCTTTTCCTTGGTCTGGACAGATTACCCAAATTTTTTTGCAGCCTGTAGGCTGGATGTCTTTACAGTAGCTGACATAGCATTTATCCACATTTTGTGTCAGTGGGCCAGACACTTTTGGAACACCCTTTAGCATTGAAACATTTCTAATGGAGGGGGGGAATATTTTTAAACTGGTCTGACCCAGCCTAAACTGTTGGGATGAAGAGGAAGAAGACTCCTTTTTTTTAGATTTGTTTAGATGCTTTTGCTATAGACACTTTCATTCAGATGCTTTGCATTTGTTTTTGTGCTGTACTGAACTCAAAGATGTAGTAACTGCTTGGATGATGAACCTGCCATGGTTCTGCCATGATGCTGCACGGACCTCATCCAATAGCGGCTCAGATGACAGTGACAGAACCACTGTTAAAAGTCTACCGAGTACGTGGCAAAGACAGATTACTTTTGGATTCAGATCCAACAAGGACCCAGAATAGTAGCTAATGGTAGTTTTTCAAGGTAAACAGCTCCATCAAGCAATTTCTCATTCCACAAGTAGGAGACTGATCACATTCTTGGAGCCTTGCACTCAAAGCTCTAGCTAAATTTAAAAATGGGAGTGGTCATAGACCTATACTTTACATACAAGGGGTGATATCAAAAAGTTCCAGGACAGAATTTTTTATGATGCTGTGGGGACGGGACTCTTTCCGCCAACTGATGGGTATGTCCTTCAAAGTAGTCGTCTTCGGCGTCTACACAAATTTTTCTATGTTTCTTCAGCAGCTGGAATCATTGCTCACACTCGTCTTTTGGAATCACCAGCAGCGCTTGTGGCACGTTCGTAATGCTGCTTTAAATGTCCTGAAATTTCCTTCCTTTTTCATTTTCAACAGTTTCTGACCCACATCTGACCTACCTAACAATCCCTGTGCTTCATAAACCATCCAACTCACCAGACTTAGCTCCTAGTAATTTCTTCTTGTTCCCTAAGCTAAAGGGCTTGCTGAAATGAAGGAGATTTCAGGCATTCAAAGCAAAATTTTAAACATGACCCAAGCACTGCAGGTGATTCCAAAAGTGTTAGCAATGTTTCCAGCGGCTGAAGAAATACCTGAAAATTTGTGTAGATGCCAGGGGGACTAGTTTGAAGGATATAACCATCATTAGTCTGAAAGAGTCACTACAGCGTCAAACAATTCAGTCTCAGATCATTTTTATCATCCCTGACTGCATGGCTCTATTTAAAAAGAATAGAAGCAGAAAGAGACCCTTTGATCAGTTTTTTTATTTTAAATCCATGTAACATCATGCAAAAAATGAAGAATGCAGGACCACTGGTATTTTTTTTGTCATAAATTTCTTTTTTTACATCATAGGAAAAGAAAATGAAAAAGTGAAAATGTGTGCCTGCTGCATGCAACTGAGAGCCTGGAAAAAAATTGCTGTCAGCGAGGGGACGTTCTTGATTGTTTTTGCTAGTGAGATGGTCCTTTCAGTCATAATAGGGTCTTTCAATTCCAAGTGGTCCAAAGTTTCCTAGCAAGAAATTCCTCTAAATTTGCGATTATTGAATTCTGTACAAAAGTTCATATCATCAAATCAGTGCAGGTGTTAAGAGATGTCTATTATTCACATTTGACTGATATTTCAAAAAAGAACATTAATATTCAAGATAAGAGTAGAAATCTCATTTTCAAATGAACTTTCAGGACACATCACATCTGACAGTCACAAAATAGCCTTTTTTCCTTTCTAGAATTAGAAAAATAATTTGATAAATTGCAGTTTTCTTATAGATAATGAATGGCTCATGCTATGTTATCAGCTACAAATGTAGTTCTAGAAATTATATCGAAATATATTTAAATTTAGTGGATGGCACCCTGGGTGCCTATGCTTGAGATAGGGTGGGAGCATTTCAATAATTTTATGCATATGTATTGCTCCCTGGGAGATTCATAAACAATGTTTTTGAAAGGAATGTTAGTAAAATAATGTAATAAAATAATATAGATCTCACTGAAAGAGTAGGATTATGAAAGGTTTGATATGTTGTTTCATGAATGAATTTATCCTAAAAAAGCAGACAAGGACTGCATCTTCTTTCATGAAAATAGATTGTTTTCTTGTTCTCCTTTGAAGTTTACTCTCCCATGGTATCTGTGGAATTTTCCAAAATTTTTCTTCATTTTTTCCCCAGTATGTACCTGATTTCAATATTGCCTCGAACTTAGGTACATTCCTTTTCTACATCATATCAAAATTAGGAACAGGATGGGGTTGTGTTCCTAAGTTCAAGAGTGTCATATTGTTCATGATTTATGTGACAAAGGAAGATAGTAACCAAGTCTTATTGTTACACAGAACTGGAATAAACACTTGTGTCACACTCAAAGACAAAAAAGTCAGAAGAAGCTGGGAATAATCTTGGAACATGACCCACTCAAGTTGCAAGAATGGCACAAAGAGCCCAATCATGGGGGATCCTCAACCTCAGCTCAAGCAAATGAGTACATCTGAGCCCTATATGACAAGTGATCCACAATTCACCTTCTCCACTCAGCAGATGATGTGATTGGTAATATTTTGGCATATAGCATCACGTGACAGGAATTGAATCTGTGCTATCTCAAACTTAAGCACATTTTCTGAGGGGCTCAAACTCAGGCAAATAACACTATATGAGGACAATAGTAGCTGAATTCTGGCACAGATATGAAAAACAGAAAAAATGCAGGTGGAACAAGAGAATTGAGAAGAGGAAAAAAATTCCCCTCACCAGCTGTGCTTCCAGCAGTGCTTCTTGTTGTATCTTTGCTTCCATGGAGGACACAAGGAGGATGGACCAACTTAAATCACCCAAGATTCTCAACAACTCCTCAGGTGTCATCTCCTTCCCTCCTTCATCAGAGCAGCAGTTCTCCACCTGCATTTTTAATGCATGCAGCAATATGCCCAATGGGATCTAGACTGAAACCCAGAGCCTCAAATGATTTATTCTTTCCCTAATTAGATTAGGCATCAACTGGGAGGGTAGAGAAGGGATCATCTGTCTCCATGTAGTAATTGACATGTACATATATATACCTGAAGGCCAGAAGATGTGAGAAACTGCACAAAGGCAGAAACAAGATGGGAGAATGCACTATTGTCAGGGTTGTAGACAAGGAGGATCTTCATTTTCTCATCATCAGGACAAGGTGTTTCACCTGCAATGTAGGATGCAATCATAAGCAGGAATGACAAAAAAATGTCATTAGTACATGGACGATTATCCCAATGTATTAACAAAAAGGAGTATCGACAAAACCAAAATGCCATTAGTTGAATATGTGTTCTTAGCAATACAAGACACTAGCTTAGTTCTTAATGCAAACACAAATGCCTATGGAGCCACTGAGAGCAAAAACTCAGCTTTAGCAAAAGTACTCTGAATAAGTACCAGAAACTGTCTTATTTGATACCTACATTAGTTTTACAAATGCTGATCAATACCAAGATGAATTGATTTCAGGGCACATACTGGTATCATGTGAAAAAAATGTCCACTGATAATGATACATTAAAGAGGCAAGCAGGAGGCAGTAGTTTTCACAATTCCCACTGAACACAATTGCACTGGTATTCAGAATTAGGATGAATCCTCCCTCAATTAAGGGTAAGCTCTACCCTTAATTTCCAACCTGAAAATTTAAAAGCGCTCTCTTGCAAAAGTACTCCCTCTCACCCCTATAAACAATATATCAATGAATTACGGAATTGAAGCTCTTTCCATTGAGTGAGGTACCAAGTTCATCATAAAGTACTTGTCAGTACTCAATATCTGTATCTCAAAAACGGCAAAATCGATCGCAAAAGCACGAAATCAACCCAAAGAGATTTTCATCATGAGTCAATACACCAAGTGGCTCTTCCTAAATTGGGCGCGTTTTCATGAAGATCGGGCAAAACTTTTATGCCATAGAGTCCCATTATAACGGTCTGGTTACTTTCTCTAAAGCCAGGTGGCGAACGTGTCTCAAGCAATCGAGGAATAGGAATAGGAATCTTCTAAATGAGACCCGACCCCCTCTTGTTCCCTATTAGCCGGTCACCCAGGATGGTTGTGGCGAGAGCCTCCATGGATGTGAAGAGCAGAGGGTGAACCCCTCGAGGAATCCACGTCTCGACAGGGGAGGAAGGGAAGGAGAAACACGAAGAAACCAGATAGTGAAGGCCTTTTCCTTCCTTGGCGTGGAAATGACGACTTCATTCGAAAATGACTTCTGTATTCGATGACCTGTCCATGTAAACGGCTGGGTATGCTCGCGGCATATAATCGGGAATGTAAACACGTCGTGTATAGTTTGTTCAAGAATATTCCTGCGATATCGCGTCAAAGACACATCTCGGTCTGCAACACAGTGGCAATGGGAACTGATAGAGAACCTAAGCTATCTCTTGACCTATGATTTGAATTTAGAGAAGACAATTCAATGGGACGAGTATCGGAGAGTCATTTGTCGGTGAGCCATACAGCTTTCCACGATGAAAACAGCTCCGTTTTTCTGGCCCAATCATGACCCTCATTTCATCAAGAAAGTTTCAAAAGGTTTCTATAGGGAGACCACCATTCATCATCTTCAAATGTACTGAAGTCCATGCGTGGGAGAAATCACAGCAATTAGTCATGTTCCCTTTGAGTATCAACCCAGTCCGGTCTCTTCGATGAGCAAATATGAGAAAGCCGAACTGCAAACATATTTCAGTGATGAAATTGAAGCAGAAACCCTCGTATCAGGAACTGAATAACTGCATGCTTTGTTTTTGGTTCATAGGTTCATGTTAGTCGCTGTACTGAAAGAGACGCCAAAATCTCTTTTCTGTAGATGGGTGGGTATCTGACTATTGATAGATCCTGTTCGCATCCAAACAAAAAAGTTCTGACGCTCGTGAGGAAGTTTCACTTGGTGTCCCTCTCCATCCGATGAGCCATCTTCGAGGTAGTATTCATCTCTTTTATGCATGATATACCGAAAAGTTGCTTTCCCATCAACACAGACAGGTCAAAGTAGAGAGGTCATCCTGAATAAAGTCGTTCTTTCCATGGGGAAAAAGGAATTGGGAAAGAATTTGTCCTTTACTGTATGGTTTCTCATCGCATCCCTCCACTGTCTGGATATAAATTCCTTTCGGGGGAATGCTCACCCTCGCCTCATCACGTCCATGAAGGAGGTTCTCCCTTCCCAGCACTCGGGTTCAGAATCGAGTCGGTTGGAAAACGTCATCCGTGAAGACGTACTGGGTGACGAATGATGCGATCCATTTATTCTATTCCTATCGCCGAAATGTAGAATTCTCGTCCCTCATGACTTCCCCTTGACCTAGAACTGACAATTCCCTCGTTCGCTTTCCTGTCCCCGGGCAAAAATTGCTAGACCTCATCGATGAAATGGTGGAGGTGCAGAAAGTATCCTTCCTGGAGTGGAGATTATGTCTGGAGGAGGAGGATGGTCGTATTCAGGGAAGAAACGAAGTGAAGGGAAGCTCGGAGATAGAGTAATTGTTCCGAGGAAGAATTGCAGGAAGGGATCATGAGGCTGTTACATTTTGGCCATGAGCGCGTTAGGATTCTTCTAATGATGGAGTCCCCCCCCCCCCCCCCCCCCCCCCCCCAGCGNAGGGGGCCCCCCCCCCCCCCCCCAAAATATATTTATATATATACTGTATATATATATATTATCCGGCATAGAGTGATCTCAGTTCCTTGCTATTAAATAAATTAGGGAACAGGAGCCCGTATGGTGACATGCTCAAGGAACGCAATGTCGAGGAAAGATGGAGAGATAATTTTAGGCTATTAGGAAATGGAGACGAGGTTTATGACCATTGCCGGCCTGTCACTTTCCTTGACAGGTCTGACATAGGGAGAAAAGCCTGCTATTACGATCTCAGAGTAGGTTATCTGCACTGTGATGCTACTCTTTTCATGTTATTTTAAGTCATCTTTCAAATCTCATTTGTGTGCATCGAGGAGCATGTCTCACGTAGAACGATGCAAGAGAATTAGAGCGATGTGCACCAAATTGGCTAAATATATATTTTTTTAATTCGGACGACGACATAATGTTTCAAAACGGTATGACCACGCCGATGTCTCGAGACGATGAATGCAGAAAGTGAAGGGAGGTGGGAAAAAAGGAACGGGAATTGGTTCTCGATCAGTTAAGAGAAGAGAGATCTCGTTCCCGATCAGATAAGAGACCCGATGGAGGTAGATAATTTTTAAAAAAACCTTCCAGTCGGAGTGAGCCCTGGGGGAAAGAGGGGCGGAGAGACGCTATGCGACATCGACGCTATGTAGCACCTTCGCCCTAGCTCAATTTTCAGGAAGGGTAGGTCCCCCCCCTTAAGGGAGTAAGCCTAGACAAGCAATGTCAGAGGTATTGATACTATATGCAATGCCAACAGGGTGCCTAAAAAAAAAAACTAAGCTATTGACTTCAACATGCTGTAAATCAGGTTGCAGTGCCTTGACTCGAGAAAACTTTTATGCACACACAAAACAACTCTTTTTCAGCAGCTATAAAATGATATGTTGTTATATCACAAGTTTTTTGCTTAATCTGGATGAAAATGACAGCCTCCATTCAGAAAATGGCATTTTGAAAAAATAATGATGAAAGAAATTTCTGCTTAAAAATAAGTGTCAAGAAGTGGTCTTGTAGGCTTCATTCAGAAAGCTGATGAGGCAGAATCAGAAACTCAAATTCAAGGTAGTGGAAAGCCCAGAACCCAATGAACTGAAGTGAATGCTAAAGAAGTCGAAATGCACATGCTGAGTCAGGATGATCAGCCTGAAAGTTTGTTTTTCCAGAAAATTCATTCATTGTTCTTCTGACTTCCCATCCCTTTTAAACTCGCAAGGTCTTGATCACCACCAAGTCTTCATGCTAATAACTAAGTATTGCTATACTTTTAAAGTAAAAAATAATAATAATAATAAAGTGAGAGAAGGATGAAACACATCTTAAAACATTTATACAGGAAATATGTGTTCTTATAAACAATAGCTGTTGCTGCTCCAACTCAAATGGCAACTGAGGACCATCGCAGCAGTTTTCTGAATTGAGGCAGTCATTTTCATCGGGATGAAGCAAAAAACTTGTGACACCATAGCATATCATTTTATCTCTGCAGAAAAAGAGTTGCTCCATGCGTGCCTAAAAGCTTACTCAAATAAAAGCACTGCAGCCTGATTTGTAGCATGTTGAAGTCAATAGCTTAGTTTTTTTTTAGCCACCCTGTATGTTTCAAATTGATCTTATTGCAAGGAAACTTAAGAACTTTTTAGATGTATGAATATTTCCCATCAAACTAACAAAGGCAATAGCTCACTCAATAACTCACTTGTTGGGATGCGAATGAATGGAAGCCGGTGAGAGATTGGCTTCCTCTGTCTCTGCGAAAGTAAGACTCCCAAGAAGACCCCAAGGAGAGTAACAACAGCAATGCAAACAGGTGCTAAGATTATCACATTTTCCAATGGTCCAGGTGAACCAGGTGGAAACACCTCTGTAGGGAGAGGGTCCTGGGTACCTGCAACAACATGGATAGTTTTGAGGGAATAAAGTTACGAATGAAGACAATTTCCTTAGAACAATAAATCTATGATAAACGAATGTGAAGCAAGTTGGTATTATTATTTAACAGTCTATTTAAACCAGGGGTCAAGAAGAAATCAGTCACTAGAAATGAGACTCATATTGCTGTATACAGGCATGAGTAAAAAATGTATTCCTACTACCAAAGTAGGACTGTCAATCGATCAAACAATGTTATCATTAATTGTGACCCCATTTAATCGATTAATCGAATAGTAATCGATCCCATGGTTTCTCCTTGAATCATGTCCTAGGCGTTGGGAATGATTCTGCTTGTATCATGCCCAACACCTAGGCAAGCCTCAGGAAGTGACTCAAGACGATGCAGTCGCTACAGCAGTTACTAGCCATACATGCACCAGTTCATCCTACAAGTGACATATTCCAGTCGGAAAGAAAACAGTTACAACTTAGCTAAATAAAAAATGAAACGTAAGTAAAGAAGCGCACTGAGGCCCTTTGCCATTTTGTCAACCCATAACGGAAGGATGCAAAAATGCAGAGCCGCACCGAGGGGGGTGCGAGCGGTGCGCCTGCACAGGGTGCCGATATGCTGCCAAATCCCTACAATATATATTAATAAAACCTTTAACGAAGTTGCAAAATATTCTGAATTTAACTAAATTTAGCACAGAAAATAATATGTAATGTATTGTTGACGCTGGGGAAGTTGGAGAGGTATAGGGAAGGGAGGGGGGGAGCTGGATTGATATCTCGCACAGGGGAGGAGGCGGGATATCACACACAGGGCGCCAAATATCCTCTGGATGGCACTGCAAAAACGTAACCCTAAATGATTGGACGTATACAACGACACTTCATTGCACAGAGATATAAAGATTCATTAACAATTTATGGGCAACACAGGATGGAAGAACAAAAAAAGGAGCAAACAAGGAATAAGAAAGGGCTTCACGCTTTCGTTACCACTGCTCTCGCCTGCCCCTGGCTTCCCCCCTCTCGCTAACGCCAGCATTAGCCTAAAGTTGTATTAGGAAAAGGAGCTTTAAAGTGAGGCATTGCACAAAGAAATTTAAAGTTTCATTAGCTAACTGACATTAGCGCTTCCTAATGTGCCTTAACGACTCCGATGACGTACTGTATATCAGGGACCAGCAAGAATGTCGTCCGCTTCGGCAACGCTCGAAAATTGATTTTCTTCTTCTTAATCAATGCCCGCAAAAGTACAAGGATGTGTCAAAAAGTAACAGGAAATCTGCGATCGTAACGTAGGGTATATAAGTAGCAACGCACATATTACTGCTTGTTAGAATATCGGCGCCATGAAAACGGTGGTCTTTGGCTTTGCTGTCGTCTCGTGTGCCTCCTACAGTTACGAAAAATGGCGACTATGAGTCTTGATTGCACCAAGGAAGAGTCGCTTTTTGTGATCCGTTTATTGATCGAAGATCGCGTGATTGGCAATTCAATTGTTCGCTGACTCAGGGCAGTTAACGAAAACTGTACTGAAGGAGCAACGTTTCCGAGTCGGTGCGAAAGTTCCAAAGTGGAACGGCGAGTGTTGCAGACACGGTGCGTTCGGGCCGGCAACACTAATCAAATGGTGTGACACGCAGTGGAGGTGTCGATATCGAGTGTATCAGAGATCACGCCCTGAAAGGACCTGCGCCCATAGAACCGAAGAACGCATGGTGGTGATGAAAGGAGAGTGCCTTGGATGCAACTTCCCATTTTCTCCGTCTCCACCCCTCATACTTCATGGTTAATTGCACACGGTGTCGAAGATTCAGGGTGACATGCACCAGATTCGTTTAACTTTAAACTGATTCGTTTTCATAATGGGCATGTATGGGAATAAGTTTATCTCTGTTAAACTGATTCCCATTAGGGACCATCGTGAGATCAGATTAGTTTAGCTTAAACGGATCCGGTAAATGTTGCCTCAATGTTGGCACCATGGAGGGTTACTGCAAACAAATAAATCAACCAAATCTTAAAATCCTACCGAATCCTCTTTCTTTCCACACAAAAAGCATTGTTCTAGCCCAAAAATTACAAACGTCATTACCTCGTACAATAAAAAAAAGGAATGACTTTCCAAAAACCCTGTAATCGGGTTCAAAAATTGTCCATCAAAAGGAGGATGCCCTGAGGCATGAACCGGTACCTCTGCAATACATCTTCAGGAGAGTACCACCCTATGCCTTTAATCCTTTGGGGTCCACGCCCGAGTTATCTCGTGTTGGCCTCATGATGAGAGATGGAAAATACTTGGATGACAGAGCCAGAGACGTAGCCAGGAATTAATTTCGGCGGGTGTCTTGTGAGGCTCTTTCAGGCTCATGAGAGTGAAGTGTTCGAAGAAGGTGAGGGGTTGGGAGGAATGAGGATAACTTCGAAAGCCTTTATGAGACTTCAACCTCACCCACCTCATAGTTCAAAATAGTTCTCTACCCAAAATTTAAAACTTTTTTGCATAATAAGAGATATGGGTAAAGGACTGACCTTGACAGTCATAATATAATGAGAGAAAGCTACTCCTGAATCACGGTTCGCTACCGGAACTAAAAAAAACTGGTAGAAGAATAGAAGCAAAATGGGGGGGACTGTATTGGTTAAGAGTGATTGCATTCAGAAGGTAGAATAGGAGTGCAAATCGAAACTTCAGTTGTATACGTGAAACCTTTTCACACATTCACCCCCCCCCCCCTCCCACTCCCTTGTTTCATAACTTTCTTCTTTTCGGGGGGTGTCCAGACACCCAGGATACCCCCTGGCTACATCCCTGGACAGAGCTGACTTTTCCAAAATACTCGGATCCCAAAGTGTTAAAGGCCGTAGGCTAGGCAGAAGGACGGGGGATGCGTACCAGTACGTTTGTGGATGCGAAGAGAACAAGAAGCTTTTTTCTTTTTTGGAACAGTCTGAAAGCGATGGCTTTGTTTTTGTGTGCTCCCTTTTTTCAAAAATAGTGTGTCGTTTTAAGGAAGAGAGAGCAGTGCGAAAACGACTACCTTCTACAAGCCACCATTACATTTCATTCCCTTGATAAAGCATTCGTTTTCGGTTGTTTTGCAAATCTATGAACTACGCATTAAAATTATGAGGGGAAAAAGAGGCATTCAGGGGGATATAAGGGGGTCGATTAAAATGCGATTAATTTAGATTAATTTGAATTTCGATTAATTGTTTAAATCGCGATTAATACTTTAATCGATTAATCTAATCGAATTGACAGTCCTATACCGAAGTACGAGAACTGATCATTTAATTCGTAGACTGATAGTGTCACCGCTCTCCCACGTAAGTTTCAGCTAAATCCCTCAAGATCGCACTGAAATGCACGTCTAAGAATACCCTCAGGCAGTTACACATTGAGACTTGTCGCCAGTTGTCGGGAAGCGTCAATTGAATTGAGTGCCGTAAGTCGTGATCGTTTCGTTTTTGTTTGGCGAATCTGTGCTCGCTGGATTCCATACCATTTGACACCTGAACAACAACAAAAACGTGTTGAAGTGTTTGAGGCCACGCTAACACGGTTTGAGCGAGAAGGTGAAAGATTTTTCAGTCGCATAGTGACCGGCGACGAGACACACGGATTTACCATTATGATCCAGAAACCAAGCAGCAGTCGAGTGAATGGAAGCATTCAGATTCACCGCGCCCCAAAAAGTTTCGAGTCGTCCGCTTAGCCGCGAAACAAATGGCACTTGTGTTTCTTTTTTTTATTGTAAAGGTATTTTCGTCACGCACTTAATGCCACGTGGTACAACCTTGAATAAGAAGCATACAGTATGTCGAAGTTCTACGGAAAAAGCTCTGCCGTGAGAGTCGCGAAAAACGTCCTGAGCTTTGAAATGATAATGGCTTTTGCATCATGACAATGCCAGACCGCACACTGCCGCTCTTGTGCGAACTGTGATCGAAGCTATAGGTGCAGAGGTGTTGCCACAACCTCCCTACTCTCCCGACCTCGCACCATGTGATTTTCTCTTATTCCCGAGGTTGAAGAAAAAGCTGAAGGGTCGGCATTTTGGTTCGGATGAGGAAGCTCAAATTGCCAAAACCACGACACTACGAGGTATATCGAAAAATGGCTTGCAAGAGGCATTCGACGGTTTGGTAAAGCGGGGACACAAGTGTATCCAGTTTCAGGGAGAGCATTTCGAGAAGGAAAAAGCAGCCGCGGACCACGACGACGACAATTAAATGTATAATAGCTTCAATCTAAGAATTAGATGATCAGCCCTCGTAGTAACAGAAAAGGGATCCTATGAATCTATAGACTTGTTTTATTAAGGTGGGGTCATTTGGCATACATATGTAGCTTACTAAAAAAAAATGATACAGTTAGTGAAAAGGAGTACTTCAAGTACTGTAGACTACGACCTAACCCTTGCAAGACCGTAGTTGCTTCCTTCCGCCTGGACAACAGATCCGCAAAAGAAAAGTTCTGCATCTCCTTTTGTGGCCATGAGGTCGTCAACGACCCTAACCCAAAGTACCCGGGAGTAACCTTGGACCGTGCGCTGACCTTCAAATGTCATCTTACGAAAGCCAGCAACAAAGTGAAGACCAGGCTCAGTCTGGTACAGAAACTGGCCGGTGTAGGACGCGAAACTTACTACCCCATAGAAGGCACTATCGTAATGAAAGTTGCGTACGCTGAAACCGCTACCATAGTAAAAAAAAAAGGCGTACACTGATTAATAACCGTAGAAAAATCCGCCTACGCAGGATCCACCATTGTCACGCAATAATTACTACTGCGATCCGAGGCTGCTTGCAATGGGCTATAGCAGTAGTATTCAAAGTGCGGCCCACTTCATGGTTTTATGCGGCCCACTATGACTTAATAATAATTGACTTTTTCACACTACCGTTTTATAGGCACTGATGAATAATAGCGATTAACAATTTTTTAATTTCCAGATTTTGAATCCTTCGCTGAAAACTAACAAATTTAGTCGTTGCTTAGAAATTTAGGTACATATAATAATTTGTTTACATTTAGCTGCTTATGTATTTTGGTGTGCCCAACATTGCCCAACATTCGGAACCTCCACATACTGCAGAGAAAAATGTATTTCCTCGCAAGTGAATGAAGTTAAGGTTAAAGAAAGAAGTATTTATCGAAAATACAACTTGTAACAAAGCAGCACCTAGAATCGACGCATTTACATGAGCCCCGACAAGTAGTAGCAGTTTTTCGTTATTAAGAGAGGTGGAAGTGAGTGGATGTGGTAAGGAATAAGCAGTTTTCGACTGCTGTTAATTTTTTAAATGGGACTTCCCGGTTAAGAGTAGCTTTACAATGAGATCAATGGCCAGATAAAGGGTTAACCATGCAGAAATGCTGGATCTTTTTCAATGCGGCCCATTCCAGGTTGACTAACGTTACTAGTACGGCCCACGCAAAGTGGACCAAAGTGTCCATGCGGCCTTCGCCTCAAAAGTTTGGGGACCACTGGGCTATAGATTCGTAGCACTATCTCTTTTCCAGTCATGCTTCCAAGGTCAGGGTGGGAGATTACCACTTCCCAGAAACCATGACCTGATCTGTCCGATACTTATCGGTACAGGAATTGAAACAGAAAAGACGGGCGTAAATAGTACAGTTGCACCTGTTCAGTGGTTCTCGTATGAAGAAAACGTATCTGTGGAGAGATGGCTGACCATAGCTACGAGTCGATCGCGACATACCTCCGCCCCGAGTCCATGAAGAACATGACTCTGTGAAGCCCACGGCAGTAACTTAGAGTGATGGTCTGAAATGTGTGGAGAAGATTAGCGAACGAGGACATTGGAGGATGAAGAGCAAGGTGTCACTGTGATAGATAAGGAGGCCCCAATGCCTACTCATGCGATTCAACCCTCCAGATAGATAGTGGGAGGAAACAAAATACAGACATCAGCCTCTAATGTGATAGCAATTGAAAAACTGCAACGAACTCATTGATGTTACAGAAATAAAATATGTAAAAATTGAATTGTTCACGAGGAATCATTTTGGCG